TTCATTTCAATAATATTAAAAGCTGTCAAGAATTTAATAAACTTGGAGACAGATGATGACTCACGAAAATGTAGTTAAAAACTTTATTCCAAGTTTTTCCACACAGCTTGCAGGCCTTAAGGCAATATTAAAATCCTGTCTGCAATCGCAAGTCTTTCAGACCGTTCGACTTTCGTGCGGGTACAAAATTATCGTTTCGATTATATTTTTCTCTTCATAAAACTCCATGGTGTCTATCGATTTATTACACTAGCCAGCAACCATCATTATTTCCATGTCAATCAATCGACCAGAATACCACGTGCTGTGGCTTCTTTTTTTTGTCGAAACTTTCAGACAGACACATATAGTTAATAGTCTTTTCTGTGATTAAATATTGGGCACACTCAAGCACACTAACACCGTTAAAAAAAATAAAATGAAACTTCGAAAAGGTATCCTATTATTGTTTCGATTTGTTGTGAACGTTCGAAACCGTTAAGAAATTTCTCGTCAATATAGACAATGTAATCAATAGCTTTGAAAGTACGTGCCTATCAGAATCTACACTAATAATCAAATTTATTTATCCTTATAGTAGTAGTGGTATTTTAATTTACATTAAGAAATTTTTTCATCTTTGACTTTATTTAAGATCATTAGGTTTGATTATTTTTCCTCTGGCTCCCGGTTGAAAACATATTTAATTGATTTTAATTTTGTCTTGTATTGTTGGTAGGGCATCCATAACTATAAAAATAATTGAAGATAAAGTAATGAAAAGGGACAAATATAAGCGTGAATACAAAACGTATTTAAAAATTTAGTTTAAAAGCTCATGTACAAAAGACAAGCTTAACTAAATCACGATTAGTATGAAAATATTATTTTTGAAATTGCTCTTATAAATAAATTTAGTTGAGAAAGAAAATATTTTCACTTCTTGTAAAATTATTTCATCAACGAGTAAAACAACATCAGTTTTCTTAAAATTTTCGTAATCGAGAGAAGAGCAGTAATGATTCATCGTGTATACTTCAGCGTGATTTACTTCTTTTTTCAGTGGACCCACAGATCACAGTGAAAAGTACTAGTATTATTACAAATAAAGGCCCTTGGTTGATACTCGAACGAGTTGCATTTGGAACATTATGAGCACGCAATGTACTATGCAAGTAGTAGTATAAGCATATCTGTTATTGATAATAGAGAGTTCTCAAGTTCTAGTAACATTACTACAATATCGCAGCGGCCCAGAAATCCTCGGTTTTGACGTCTGCGCGAGTGTCTGTGTAAGTACGTATACGTATATATCCGTCGAGCACAGTGCAAAGGGGGTTGTCACGTATATAGGGTGCTCAGTTTGCTCGCGAGCCTCGAGTGATTGATTATATTTTGCCGGAAGGCGCGCGCGCTGTGCCAGCGATATATAGAAGCCCGTGTACAAAGAGCGAAAAAGGAGCGATAGAAAGAGAAAGACGTAATAAGAGACTATGGCAAGAGGCTATGTGGCGTACACAGAAGGGTGGTGCTGAGATAAAGAAGAGAGAAAGAGAAAGAGAGAGAGAGAGAGAGACGAAGTAGAATGCGGAAAAAGAGATGAATCTTCTATATATATATACGAATGTGTGCGTGTATGAGAGTGAACCAGCTTGGCAAAAAAGGCCTGTAAGGCGTTGATAGAGAAGCTTGCAAGAGAAGAGGAAGAAGAAGAGGAGCCTATATAGAGACACTTCGAATGAGTTGAGTTATAAGAGAGTACGTATAGCGCAGATGAGATATTTCTTAGGTATATGCAACTCTCATATACGTATGAGTTATGACCATAGCTCGCTGCGCTCGAGATAAGATAGTGTGCGTCATTTTTGTTGCCTGGCAGGAAAAAAAAGCCTTATTCGGGTTCGAAACGGCTGACGTATCGAAGAACGAATGATATTTTGTAAATTTAGGCCTCGATGATTTTACTTCGAATGAAGTGGCATCGTTGCCACACCGTGTGGCGATGCGAAAAACGGCAACCCTCTTTTGATACTCATCTCGATCGTTTCGCACCCAGCGAAACGTTTTTCATGCAAAATTTCGTTGACGGGAATTTTCCATCAATGTCAAAAGTTAGTTGGCCAATGATAAACCGGACAGAATTTTATCATTCGTTTCAACGTGGTAAAACTTTTCAAAACTTTTGGATCTTCAAACATTAATCAAGCTTTTTAATTCTGCATGCTGCAAAAAAAAAAATGAAGACGACGACGACTACGCAAAAGTTATACGAGGCATATATAATTGCATCGTACGCGAGTACCTTATATTAAAAAGGCGCATGCAAAAGTATAAAGTGTAGCTTTGTCAACGATTCATCACCACTTAGATAACATAAATAAAATGAAAAATTAACTCGAGTCGAAAAAAATGTTTACTTAGCAACTCGCGCTCGGCGCATTGAATAAATATATAACGCCTGCTGTACAGGTATGAGGCAGGCGCTCGCAGAGAGGAAACCCCTTGGACGCGCATAATGCACTGTTAATTTCACGCTTTAACATTTATATTTTAACTCGCACTCGCGCATGCACAGTAGAGTAGAGCCGAGCAATGCGCACTCGATTTTTTTCTATTATTTTAATAATCATTACTCATACAAAGGGCCTTTCCTTCCGTTTTGATAAATGAATGATTCGAGCCTCGAAGACGAGACGAGACTTTCGATTATAACGAGCGAGACATGCGTGATACCACACTCATACATACATATTTACGTACATATGTATATGAGTTTTACCGTCGGCAATCAGCACTTCATGATGCCTTATTTACGCGTACACGCACGGGTTGGCATAAATGCAGCAGCAGCAGCACACGCTCGTTTTTTATGACGATGTACGCGGTAATCGTGCTTTACGGTAATGGGATTGTAGCACGCAATGATTCCTCGTTGTGAAAAATCGACCAATGATCGTCGTGCCCATACATACATATAGCATATACAGCAAGGCGTATATTAAATGACGCTTCGCGCACTGACAATTCTGGATTGCCCGGGCACGCATGCGTTCGTTCGCCCGCTCGTTCGACAGAGGGCAATTTATAACTTTTATTTACGCTTGCCTGATCGATACGAAATATAGAGAACGAGACAGTGTCGAAAAAAAAGTTTTTCATTTGATGGCTGTTTGTAACTTTACGAGAAATGTATCAAAGTCAAATATTCTTCATTGGATATCTATCGGGTATTGCATATAAAAAAGTTTTGTTTCGTGCATGAACTCCTCTTATCAGCAGTACTGTTTTATTAAAAAATGACGAAGGGAGGGGGGGTCGAAAATCCGAAATTACTTTTAGCCGAATGGTGGTTTTCATAGAAAATGAAGTGCCCGGTGCCGTTGTTTAATAATCCTAATGGTTAAATAAGAATCTAATAATTCAGTTTTCAAAATATCATAATCATCATGAAACTTGGAGCTCATTTACGAAAACTTATATGATTGAATATTCATTTATCCTAAACGCGAATGAACTAAATTCAAAAATCTTCAGTTCAGTGTGATTTTACCCTAAATCTAGGGTGGAAATGGACTAAAATCATTGTAAATTGAAGATTTGTGAATTTAGTTCATTCGCGTTTAGAATAAATGAATATTCAATCATATAAGTTTTCGTAAATTAGATCCAAGTTTCATGATGATTATGATATTTTGAAAACTGAATTATTAGATTCTTATTTAACTATAAGGATTATTAAGGGCTCAAAGGGGGCTAAATAATTATATCTTTCTATTTATAGTATTAAGCTGAAAAAGTGAAAAAAAATTATTTTTCAGAAAACAGACATAAGAGCCTTTTTCAATGCCCCATTTGAAAGTACTTTGTCCAGTTAAATACTTACAAACACTTAAATTAACTTGTATCAGCCTATGACCCTTCAGCGATGAGCATTGAGGATATCTAAGCTGTTTGTCGTAAGATTCTAAGTGATGGCTTGACACAACTAAGTTCTATGTCATTTCATTTTCTTCGATGGATCATTAATGATTATTTTTGATAATTTCAGATTTTGTATCTTATTAATTCTACAAGTGCATCTTACAGCCTTTTTCTTTACATCCATTAAGATTTTTTACCCGGAAATATGATCACCTGATCAATCAGGTTGTTTCTACAAATAATCGGAAGTGATTCGTTAACCTAATTAGCATTTAAAATGCATTTCCTGATCTTGAAGGTATTGTTCAGATCATGTGTGTACTCCTATAGAATTATTAAAGAGAAAGTACGGAAGACGGACACGCGTCTAGTGCGGATTAAGTCTAGGTGTCGACAAATAAATGAAGACCAATGATCGATGTGTGACATTCAGATTATCTACCATCACGTTTTCACGTCATTAGACAACTAAGCATCTCAAATTTTTTATGTGACGAATTTGAAGGTGTCGTTATGAGGCGTCTGTTCAGAATTAAATTAAAATCATACAACAGGTTGCTTATAATTAGATATACAAATAAAGACACGCGCCAGTCTCAACTCTAATCAGGGCCAGTATTAACATAGAGCTTCTCAGAGACATTCGGTCACGTCTAAAACCTGTGAATACTCGGAAAGGCGATCGAGCCACTCATCGCCATCGTTGGGGAACCCTCTTCTGCGGTGCACGTGTGAACGAGTCCCTCTGGACGGACTTTTGCACGCAGGAGGTGCGACGACGACTTGGAGCTCGCAATCATAGGCCATATAGCTAATCCCACCGAAGCGCGAGCCGACAGTGGTAGCAGCGATACACCACGTGTAATATTCGCAGTATCGCACTACGCACATATATACCTATATGTAATATACACAGTATATACACACATATAGGTGAGCGTTGTGGTGGGCCGGCCCCCGGGCTTAAGCGTTCGCCTCTCGCGAGCGGCCTGGAGGGGAGAGTTTGAAAGGCGCCGAACGAGGTTGGAGAGAAGCCTCGGCGGAGGGGGTAAGCTGGTCGAGCCACAGAGACTTTTTCTACGTCCTTGTGCTTATACAGTTTCAGCTTGGCAGTGCAAAGGAGCAGACGCCAGTTTTGGAGCGTGCGGAGAGATCTGTTGCTGCCTGAGTCGATCCGTTGCGTCGAGTATTTTTTTCTCGTTTTGCATTCGATACTTGCTAGTCAAATATCTCTGCGAGTGAAGAATAAATTTAAAAAAAATTGCATGAGTTCAGTGAACGAGTTCGTTGAGACGACGCATTGTAAATGTATAAAAAAAAAGTGTGATTATTAAAATTCACCCGCAATAAATAAAGAGTCCAAAAAAGCCGATAAGAGTGACGTTGTTGGAGCGAACGCGCGAGTGTATGTGTGTGTGTATTGGAGCAGCGCCACAATCTCACATGTTGCACGCGAACCAGCGATCTATCATGGTTGCAGACGCGCCTCGTCGCTGATTCGCTCTCTACCAAATCACGTGATACATGGTAATAGAAGTTCAAGTGGGCGGAGCATAGTGATATCGTTCTCTCTCTCTCTTTCTCTTTCTATCTCTCTCTCTTTCTCTTGTGCTTGGTTTCGGTGCGAGGCAACATTTTGTAGAACAGCGTCGAAATCATATGTGAGACCGTGTCCGTAATAGCTACTTGCTTCGGAATAGTGAGACGGCCAGTAAGTGAGATTCAGTGGAACATCAATGTGCTTCAGTAATATTTTAGTAATTTTTAATCACTCTGATTCAAAAATATTTCCCGGAGAAATCAGTTGGTTTTTGTTAGTTCACGCAGTGCTGTGAGTGTTGTGTTGAAACGTGTGTAACGATCTCCATAATTGAAACTGTCTTCAGTTGATCTTAGTTTTACTAAAGCTATTTGCCGAAGCGATTGAACCGAGAGGATAAAAAAGTCATGAGCTCGTTTTTAGTGAATCCGTCTTCGGGTGGTGCCTACCACCACCAACCGGGACATCAACAAGCGATAACGCATCATGCGGCTGAAGATTTTTTTCCCTCGCATCTCACTCAAAATTTTGGGGACTTCGCTGGAACGAGTCACCATTTGAATCATCAACCGTCTCAGTTTCAATACGGATATGCCACCCATCAACAAACGGCAGGCGGTGCCCATTATGGAGCTGGGGCTACCATGCCGCTGAGCCCATACCAGTACGGTACATATTATAGCTCTCATCACGCCCAACAAGTTTCTACGATGCATCACACGAGTATGATGCCGCATCATCAACAAACATCATTGTCAATGTCACCGCCAGTGCAACAAACATGCCCTACAGGAATGCAGCAACATCAGCATCAGCAACAACAACCACAGCAGCAGCAGCAACAGCTGCAACATTTAGCTGCTTCATCGGTATTGAACACACCGACGGTATCGCCGGTGCTGATGTCGAATCATGCCCAAACGAAAAATATTCAAAATCATAGTCAGCAACAGTCCCAGTCGATGGACGGCAAAGTTTGCAGCCCAAACGGTGCGATGCACACGTCGTCTCGTTCGCCGGAATCACAGTCTCAACAAGTTCACCAGCAACAATCGCATCAGCAGCAGCAGCAGCAACAACAGTCGCAACAAAACCTCCTCGCGGCTCAACAGCAGCAGTCCATGCAAAACAGCCAACAGTCGTCGAATATAAGTCAACAACAACAACAACAAGCACAGCAGCAAACTTTGAACTCGCTTCAGCAGCACGCGATTCTACAAGCTGCCCAAATGACACAGAGCCAAAGTCTTCCCAGATCATCGACTATATCGGATCTGTCGGATCAAGATGATTTGGATGACGATGATATGTTGGATGGTACGACCGAGATGGGCGAGGACGACGAAGAAGAAGATGAAAATGGCGACAGAGTCATATACCCCTGGATGAAAAAAATCCATGTCGCTGGAGTCGGTGTGTATACTATTGCTTTTGCTTTTTTCGAATTAAAATTCATCCATGACTTTTTATTAAATTACCGATTATTATAAAATAACTATATCCATTAATTCAAATAAATATTTATGTGAAAAATAACTATCTAAATAAATGATGTCATGGAAAATCTTTTTAAACAGTCCTCAATAGTATTGAAGTAAGACTATACTGCAAGGTTTAATATGCGAGTTGCCGACGGATCGTTTGCTTCTCGTTCCTGTCTCCTTCCTTTAAATAATTTTTAATATTAAAAATAATGGAGCGTATCACCGAAATCTTTCATTTTTGATGCTCATAAATATTTGAAATTAATTTTAAAAATTACCATAAATAAATAGTTTTATTTTATAGTCATTTGTTTAAAAAATTATCATTTCATAATTATATTCAGTACATACAGTTGTCGAAAAATAACAAACACTCTCAGTTTAAATAATAAATGCGACGTTCCCTTGGATTACGAGATAATTTAGATGAATAGGATTTGATCAATTCTAGGTCTTTAGAGTGGCAGAGTGATTAAAGTGTCGCATCTATCTTCTCATTCTCTTCGGCACACTTCAGCTAGTAATTTGGGAAGAAATATAGCTAGCAAAATATCTTGTTGTCACCTGCTAAACTCTTGTAGTCTTTTAGTTCTTCCGTCGCCACAGATAAACCAGAACAAAATTAATGTGTGGACATTTCTCAAATTCATAATGAATTTACCATGAGAAACTATACGTTATAGATACTTATTGAAAGCGCATTCTTCACAAACAATACTTTGAGATTTATGACTATTGAAGTATTTTAATTGAGTTTAATTATGTTATTATTTTGATGAATTTTTGATCTTCAGTTATTTATTGTACGTTAAACCACTAGTGTAAATAATGCAATATAAATTTTATCGAATAAAAAATATATCTAATAATGTGGGGAAGAAGTAAGCATACTAGAAGCGATATCGAAGTAAAAAATTCGATTCAACAGTATCATGCGTGTTCTGTTTGTGTACGCATCTCGTAACACCGGGCTCTATTTTGAAAAAGTTTTGTGCCCTGTAACAGTCCTCAGAATCGTCAGTCGGTCGGCTTTGTAATCACGGGGTCTCCCTTCTTGGTTTAGCCGTAATATGAAAAACTGCAGCTCATTCTAACTTGCAACTATTCCCTCCACCGAAAGCCAGACAAGGCGTAGATAGGATGCTTGTCCTTACTCTACTGCTGTTGCTGCTGTCTGCCGTGCTATACTTCTTTTTTTTTCGTCTATACGTATAGCCTCGTACTGTTTGCGCGCCACAAAGCTATCGAATTGTTCGATCACCGGTTGTCCGAGGAAATAAGCCGATGCGATTACAATCTGCGAGCTATATTTAATAGCAAAGAACTTTTCATAAGGTGACATGATTTTAACACCTGCAAGCTATAATTGCAAAAATATTGAGGTATTATTGAGCACTTTCAATTAAAAAAATTGTGACTGAAATATCGAATGTTTAAATTATTCAAACGCTCATCTTATAAAAACGCAATTATGATAACTCTACATGAAGCTCATCGAATTATAGTAATAATCATCATCAGAAGATTTTGCAATAGTTTATGCTATCTTTAATTATGACGCACTCCCCAAGAACATGTAACAATCACTTTTATAAATCTCATGACGATGCAATTTCAAAGCAGTATATATGAAGGACAAGCGTATTTCCATTGATAAACGGGATCACTAAGACAATCTTGAAAGTACTTTTAGTATCATAGTGTTTAATATATACTATTGAATATATTATCTCATTTGAATTCAACAGGCCAAAACTTTTTTATTTCTCCCCAGAAACAACATAACGCGTGGTAGAATTTTCTTCGGTAAATGAAACGGATAACTTGTCATGAAAAATCTATTGTATTTCAGTTGGTATGCGATCTTACCGACGTCGGACAAAATGACACGCGTTTGAGCACAATAAAATGTATCGGGTCTAATTTATGATGACTAATGCAAATAGTATGATACGTGAGAAAAAAAGATCCTCGGGCCACCAACAAAGATCTAAACATTACTTATTCATCGCTGAAAATATCGATTGAATCTCTTTGATTCTCAATCTGAATAAGAATAACTACCGATTTTATGATAAAAGACGTCGGTAAAATAAAATAAAAAGTTCATCTTGATCTTATACTGGTTATTATTGAATCCTATACTTATGATACAATATTTATGAAAATATACACGAGAAATTTTAGCAACACCGCGATTATTTATAAACAGTTCAAGATCGATATCTCGTTGAATCGGAAATGTTATTAGATTGTAAATATTGTGCTACAGTGAAATCGAATCAACCTCATGACTCTGATACGATTTGTAACTGGACTTTTAAATTACTTCTGATTTAAAATTTTTATAAGTTTTTAGCTTTGTTAATTACTAGGGAAGAATCTTTTTAAACTATGCCTACGCATAGTTTTCAGTACCATTTATCGGTTTATTAATCGTAACAGAACTTTCCTAAATTTATCTATACGCAACCAAAAGAACCCTGACGAAGCTTTTGTAAGCTCACGGTATTTTTATAAGACACTATTGATTTCTCTGCCTGAGTCCAGGGACATAAAACATATCTTATTTTATTTTATTGGATACGTTAAAAAGGTTAAAATTGTAGTTTTCGATTTTTAAAACATAATATTATTGTTGTTTTTAATTTATAAATTAACAATATGTTAAATAAAATATTCCGAACATAAACTAAACAATCATAATTGATCTTAGTTTGCAATGACTAGTTAAAAAATATATAATAAGTTTTTGCGACACGTGATTGTAAAAAATTGTGTCGGAATGTTGAAAACTATTTTCAGCATGAATAATCATTTCGAAGTTAGTGCCCTTAGTCAGACGTCGTTAAATCTCATTGAGCTATAATACGGCTTATATTTGTAGCAATGATAATTGGTTCGTAATCTGGTGTCGCGTGAAGGTAGCCAAAGTCAAGCTAATTGAATTTCCGAATTCTCATAAATCATATTTGACACCTTTGGGCACGAGAGAAGCGCAGGAACGAAGGTAGCTCTGCGCCACTAATAAGGATGAATTTGTGCTTTACCATGTCCTCGCGAAATTATAATGTATTCATCGTCCGTGTAACTGATCACCTCAAGACACAACTGGCGTGCCTTGTTCTTGTCGCCGTGCAGCACATCTAGAACAGATTTGACCGATCAAGACCACCTGGTTTAAATTTTTTTAAAGAAGCCACGAGCCAATATCGTCTGACTACCTTACCACTTTGCCGTTCACATATATATATTTAGTAAGATATTTCGCCCAAGACAGAAAGTGAGAGGATGCAGATAGGATGCCGTCGATACGCATGCAAATATATAACAGACCAGTTCGGTAGCTTGTTTATCGCGCATTTTCTCTTTTTCATTTTTGTTGTCATCACTCGAGCCTCCTGGTACATGGTGTGACTCTTTCAGTAGCTCATTAAGATAGTCTCATGCATAACGTAAAAAAGTTATCCTTATTAAAGGACTCAAACATTTCTTTCCACAATCCTCGTATTGTCCCATCCCAAGTATAAAAATATTCTAGCTAGATTGAATTGAAATGAAACTCTTTTATCACTGTTATAATGTTTTTTAATTTTTTATTTTTGTAGCCAATGGATCGTTCCAACCTGGCATGGAACCAAAGCGCCAGCGAACGGCCTACACAAGGCATCAAATACTCGAGCTAGAAAAAGAATTCCACTATAATCGTTATCTGTCCCGCAGACGACGCATCGAAATAGCTCACACGCTCGTTCTTACGGAACGCCAGATAAAAATATGGTTTCAAAATCGAAGGATGAAGTGGAAGAAAGACAACAAGTTACCTAATACGAAAAATGTCCGTCGAAAAGTGGCCAACGGCCAGCCAACGTCGCCGACGAAAAAATCCAAGTCTTCGAAAAATAACAATAGCGCGCAAAGTAAAAATCAAAATCCACAAGTTTCGCCGCAAAGTATGGACAGCGGAGTGGAAGAAGGCATTGGTGGAAATATGTCGAATTTAGTCGACGGCCAGCACGACGTCAAACCTGCTCCACAAAACGATGGATTCGTGCCCCTTATGAACAGTTTCCAAAATCCTCAAAATCCACTGGCTCATTTGCAAGCACAATTGAGCCAGTGTCCGTTGATGGACGCGCCTACGAACATGGTACATATGGGGTCCGGCAGTGTCAATGCATTGGTCCCGGCAAAAACGAGTCCCCATGGGATCGAGTCGAACATTTCTCCAATGGCTGTAAAGTCCGACTATGGGCTTATGGCGCTGTAACAGAAAATCGAAAATTCAGAGGACTTTTTAGCCCGAAATCGTTTCGATACTTACATGGATATTTTCTTAAGAAAATTGGATGAAGATTTGTCCGAAAATGATGTATGCCGTGAAAGCAGATATCTTTAATAGTATTCACGTTGAGCGGTACATGCATCGAAAGTTTGCTGTTTCTGTACACCAACAATGAACGTTATTGCATTGTACGTGAAAAAAAGCATCATATTAGTCAGAATAAAATCAAAATAAAAGCACGAGATGATGTTCAGTTCGTTGAAAAAGTTTCAAAAAAATTTCCTAAACTTTTACTGAACATCCTCTACAGCTATGTATATAGAACTTTGTTATAAGATGTACATAACGATTAATTGTACAAAAATTGTTGCCGTGATTTCTTAGAATTTTTTTATTCCTCATAACCCTGTAAGCGATGAATGTTTAGTGAAACTATGCTATATAGATATCAGTAAAAATAATACTATTTCAAATTAATGCGATAAAAAACAAAATTAATGAAAAATCGTCTTTAAAAGTACAGTAGTTTCGCTATAGGATAAGTGTCTAAGAAAATTTAAAGTGGATGAACATTTCAGTTTGATGTTATCGATTATGTTTCGAACTTTTTATCTTTTTCATCCAAAACGTTCCACTTCAAAATTATAATGAAATTTATAATGTTACTTATTACGACACTTATTTTAATATTTTTTGTATAAAGTATAGTATTAAAATGTATACTGTGACGTGTATTACGATGTAAGTTACTACGGTGTTTCATTATAACAAATAAATTGTGGTCAAATATAAGTTAATTCAAATAAAACATCATTCAATCCTGAGTTAATTTTAATTCGTTTCATGCTTCTATCAATTAATCATTTTATTATAGAATTCAATATTTGTTCATTCAAAAATCCTGTTTTTTCCTGAAGTATTTCAAACAACTATTAAGGTGCAGCTGAAAAGATTTGAATATTTACAAAAAATTTTTGAAAAATCTTAAGAATACTTTAACGTGTAAATTCTTTCATTAATCAATATTCCCTTGCAAAATTTTCTAAAATTTCCAAAATTGGACGACTGATTTACGATTTCATTGAATTATTGTTATGAAAAATATTTGCATATAGTGTATATGAATAAAAAAATAGTAAAATATGGAAAAAAGATAGTGAATAGGTTTGTATAGATAATCCAAATTGTAATTAAATTAAAAAAAAAATCGTACTCACGTTTAAGTCGAAACATCTCTGGTTTTTTGTAAACCAAGCAAAATAACACGAGTAATATACCGTCGGAAGTATATTACATATAAAATATAATAAGAATGTGATGTAGCTTTATGTAATTTTTCATTTAGTAATAAATTTTTCATTTTATTTACTCCAAAACCTTTTTAAGGATTAATTAAATTAAAAAGACGCGATCAAAGATTTAGTTAGTATTTTTTATTTCACGGAGTTAAAACCAAATAATACCGGGAGAATCAAGTTTAATCGGAAAAATATTTAAAGAAAAAATTAATATTAGTTTTATAAGGAATAATTCAATATTTTATTCATTACTCAGATTTATCTTCAGAGTCCTGAATAACATATATCAATACGCTAGCATCAAAAGAGTCAAAATTCATTTATAATTTTATTCTTTTATAAAAGAATACTTTTTTTCGCAAAAAAATTTCAAATTCTTCATTGCGTTTGTTGCATCTTCAAATCTAGGTCAGTGAATACCTTTTGATAACAGTTATTTAATATTTCAACAATTACTTAAAAAATAATTCTCAAACAACTTTGAAATTTTTAATTTATTTTATGGAAATACTTAAAAAAATGGCTGCCGTTTATTTATAGCACTATTAATGCGAAGAGAATTAGAAAACAGAACTTAATATAAGTTTTGAATTTTTTTTTAAAACTTAAAATGAGGCTTCTTATTCTACGCCAGCCATAGTATTGATAAATTATTATGAAAATATTATGAAATGAGCAACATATGAGAGTAAATATTACTGAATAAAATGCTCGTGAATTTTGATTCGTGAAATACGATCCCTGGTAGAAATGCTCAACATTAATAATAACCCAATGACCGAAAAATGACCATTTAAATCATTAAAACATTGTTTATTAATTGGCTTTAATTAGATGATTTTTCTGTTACAATCATGTTGCTAAAATGAAGTGCATTTCATGTGACTTGAACATGGAAATTCAATTGTTTCAAAAAATCCTCACTAGATGGCGAATACCTTTATTTGTAAATCTGCAAGAGGTAAAGTGAAAATAATGGTTTAAGACACATCAAATTCAAATGCTAGTCACCGGATGTTTTTTTAGGAGATAATGTTTTCAAAGGTCCAAAAGAGAAGGTACAAAATGCAAAATACCGAAAAAGTCCAAGATCCAATAGTCTAAACGTGCATAATGACCAAATGACCAGTAATAATAATAAAATACTGAATTACGAAAAAGTAGTCGAAGACACTTCATTTATTAGGTCCATGTGATGGCCAAAATCAGTAATTTATTTTAGTTGTATGTTGTTCTGCACAATGTGCAGTGCACATGGTCCTCATGGCATCTCACGATATTTCGGTGATAATCGTTAATGTAAAAAAATTTACCACGTTAACACGCGTAATAATAAATCGCGAAAAATCAAACACGTGAAACAACTATAACAACGTGACAAGGTTGCTACGCTGATGAGTAAACGTTGTTACGTTGAACGTTGTAAATACAGGAACTGTTGAGATATGTAGAGAATAACTTGTGCATTTTTCATCTATACTTTATTTTTAATTTTGGAACTATTTTAGCGTTGAGTATATAATACTTTTTAAACATTACTATTTTTGGATATTTTTATTTTAGATATTAATATCTTGGCGTTTTTTGTACTTTAACATTTATGGCTTTAGACTTTTTGTATCCTAACCCAATTAACATGGGAGATGGGATTTTAAATTACGGATTTCATTGTGAAAAAATGGTCATATACAGAAAAAATGGCGACAATTTTGAAAATAAACGTTTCACTTTGGTTTTGTGTATGTCCAGTTCTTATGGATCTTTTAAGCCTAAGAAAATTTTTCATTTGCTAAAAACTAGCTTTAAAATATTGAGCATTTCTAGCAGAAATTATAATCAGTTTTTTAATTGTCATTTTAATAATTTAAAAATGATCTTACTAATTGTATAAATAACGATTTTCCGCTAGGTTATACCTGGTGACATACTTATAACGTATAGAAATATATATTAAAATAACACGTTGTACATAATGAATCCTCGAGATAACAAACACATGTATTCAATATTGGATTTAAGCATACATTACAGATGATTAAGTTAGTCTCATTAATATTAACCTAATAAAAAATTATGTTTGTATTGAAAAATAATAAATAAAATGAAAAATTAATAAAAAATATGAATATAAATGTTCAATACTGTCCTACTAAATTATTTAGTTCACTCTTACAAGTTTTATTGAAATAATTGAAATCTTCAAACAGAATATGAAATATTATTATGATTTATAAAAAAAACCATTCTCTACACACACAGCTAAACTACAATATCAATGGGTACATATATCGTACGTTGTCGTCGCGCGCATATAAGGGGTGGTTCTTCTGTACGAATCCAATAGGAAGACTGCCGAGTCTTGATACCGCCCATAAAACTAGAAAATAAATGAGTGCGATAGAGAAAGAAACTCGATATGCTTGGAAGCAGAAAAAAACGGGAAAAAAGTCAGAACGATTGGATACAATTCTAGACAAGTCTTAAAAATTATTTTGAGATTATATCGGCGATTTGAATTCTCGACCATAAACTTCTTTTTTATATTAATTAAAAACTTCCCCTTGAATCATAATTTATTTTTTTAATAGATATTAATTATTAGTAGAAAAACAGTTTGAGAATAAAATTTTTCATACTTCAATTAATTGGAACTGTACGTGTTTTCTTTGAATGATTCTAAAAATGATACCATGAACAAAATAATTAATAATTGTTATGAGAGAATCATATACATTTTTGAAAATAAAATATTTGTTTTTTATTTTTTTCGGGTAACCTACTGAAAATAGAAACAAATGGTGTAACAAATATTTGTCGTAAAACGGTTTCATTTTATAAAGCACATCATGCTGACATTTTATCAATGAATCGAAGCAAACTCGCATAAAAGTAACTCGAAGTAATTATCAGCTTGGTATGCAAGGATACTGAAATTCTGCGAATATAATACCAACTACATGTCATCTCACGTGCTCGCACTTGGGACAGCGAAGCACTAGTTAAGATGAATCACGATTCTTCTCACGGAAATTAATATTGCGAGCAATATAATTTCATTCTGCGCGCATCGAATGTATTTCGATCATTTTATCCGCTTCTCGATGACGGTAAGTTCTGTAGCGATGCAGCAGATAAAAACATTTACATAACGCCATTTCTCGTAACGGCCGATAAGATTTGCGTTGTATATGCTGGCATTCGAGGTCACTTACAACATATGCGTATGAGCTCGGTGATCCAATATGAAAATTTTTATGTAGAGTGCAGTTTTCATTATTCAATCGTGTTAAAATAAATTTGAAGATGAATATTCAGCTCAAAATCAGATACACTAAATTATTTTCTACGGCAAGGCTTATGCTTTTTTAATTGTCCTTTTTTTGAAAGATTTAACTGATATACTTGCGTGAATTTACATTGTTTCTAATTACATAAAAAAGTATTTAAAATCAAATGAAACGTAATGCTTTGTTCAAGAGTTCAATAACAATTCCGACAATGTAGAGGAAAAGTAGAACTTGAAAATATGATGATTGTATTATAACTGTGTTAGCTTTATCCGACCGACAGTCTTTTACGAACGCTGGCATCAATCATTGGTTAAATCTTATCCGACCCTCCTACTATTAAAACTTTGAATTGATTCTTATTGACCAATAAGTACGACGACCACAACATCTGTATTCAAATATGGAATTTTAATATCATTCGAGTGCCACCTCAATAAATGAAAGTATTTAAACCGCAACTACAAAGAAAAGTGATTAGGAGCTGTGGAAAGAAATCAACATATCTCATTTATATAGACACCGTGTGGAGAAAGACGCCTTGGAAACTCGCTCGGCACGAGCCCGCATAGCATATACAGTATCCCAATCAATACTACACCGAAGCGACGGTGTATATATAGGCAGTAGCAGCATCACATACAACTATTCTCTCTCTCTCTCTTTCTCTCGCCTCGGCTTGTCTGTGCTCCGCCTCGTTTATACCTCACTGTCGAGTGAACAACTGACGTTCCCCGAGGGACGTGTTTTCGTCTCCACACCTTTTTGGCAGCGACGGCACACAGAGCAGCAGCAGTACTGTGCGCGTTACGGCCGTACTTGGCACCACCGCAGCACACTCTGCTCTGCGAGGAACGGTAGCGTTTCGCGCAGTAGCAAAGTGATTAAAGATAACGGGATGCTTCCTGTCGTCACACGTCCAAACGGCACCGAGCGAGAGAGCAAGAACCGAGAGGAAATTGAAGCGTGCAAACACACGCATTTACAAACAAACAACAAATTCGCTGATTCGTTATATGCGCGTAGTAGTATACGCAGGCCGAGCTGTTATGCGGAGCGCGTTGACAGGCTGGAAAGCGAGTTATACGAAAATACTATCATCTCAGCGAGGCGAGCGTTAAAATTTTTCAGCGACTCGCTGTTGCTGCTGCTGCTCGGTGCGCGCGACCAAACGCGATAGTATACTTACTAATGATGGACGAGCTAGTCCATGCATCATCTCGTGTTTGCATCGCTGCT